GTAGCTGATGGCGGTGAAGAATTATAGCTGAGCCTTTTGTAATTGGTTTTAGGAATTCTGTAGTGTCAACAGTTCACCGGGGACGCTAACCAAGGAAAAGCTTTAGCGTCTGAGGAGCCCGAAGAAAAACAGATGATCCACACTAAACCGAAACAACTCCCTGTATTCTCCTTAGACCATATGCTTCACCGCCAGTAGGGGGTGCCACAAACCACCACAATAGTAGCGACCTCTACATCTCCCTCCTTTCGGACATTGAGCAGTCACAAGTTCAAGCGGTCCGGTGGAACAACTCGTCGGCCACTACCCGTGCGTGTGCACAACACCACCATGACCGCCATCATCACCATCACCACCATCGCCACCAACAACCATCCACCTGTGCCGAGTCATTCGTTGCCGTAGCATTTGGAGGACCTCGATTTGAGTGAGCTACATGTGGCTGTTGCTTGGTATCTTCTGATGAAGCTAGGGGAGGCAGCCATGCTGGAACGAAGGGGACAAGGTGACACCTGTTGCGCTGCAAAGTACCGCCTTGTCCTGTTTCTATGTAGCTGCTGGGTCTCTGTGCTGGACTTTACACAGTTCTTTTTACGTTCTTTTGTCGGGCCCAGACTTGCTGTCCTACTGGAAGTGGCAATGCATGCCTGGCCCGATGGCACTGATTGTAGCTCTTCTCCTGCTTTATTTGATAGGATGCATTTTTCAACACTACTGTGTATTTCGAGGGCACACTTGGCTGTAGCAATTGTCTCTTCCTGGGGACTTTGGTCCTAAGCCGACGACCAATCAAGAGCTGAACTGGGCTAAAACAGTTGACGCCTGGGGTATCCCTGTAGCATAGCAGAGCCATGTGGGGCCTTTCGCCTTGGTGAAGAGGTTTTTGATCGTCCGGACCTCTCTCTCCACTTCTTCGTTAGACTGGGTGTTGTGGGGACTGCTTTTCGTATGGACGAAGCCGTACGAGGAAGCGAAGGCTGCAAAATCTCGTGACGAGAATGGCGGGTCATTGTCAGACCGAATCTCCTGGGGTACCCATGTCGGGCGAATATGTTTTTCAGCACAACCACGACAGCTTGAGCGGTTGTGCTCCTCATGATTATTACTTCCGGGTACCTTGAGTCAACTACCAGGAGGAAAGTTTGTCCATTGAAGTGAAATAGGTCCATGCCGAGAAGTTGTTATGGACGTTCCAGGAGAGCAGTCGGTATATGTGGCTCAGCGAAGTTTACTCGAGTGACAGCGCATGTCTCACAGTTAGTGACCACGGCGGTAATGTTATTAGAGACTGCCAGGCCACCATACTGAATCACACGCAAGCGCTCTGCTTCTGTTCATGCCTTGATGTCCATCGTGTAGCAGTGCCAAGATTGAAGATCGAAGTGACGATGGAATCAGCAAAACAGACACCTTTGAACAGTACACCGTCGCGAACAGAAAGTTTATCAATCACCGATGAGTATATGGAGATGTGCAACAGCAGCATATTTTTCCGAGGCCACCGCCCGCTGACAAAAAGAGAATAGCGTAGTGCATTCGCCTGTCTGAACTTTGTGCTCGACGCCCCTCCAGCACGTTTTGGTGGCAAAACTTCGAATGTGAGCAGCCACTACATCTGCAACATAGAGCTCCATTACACCAAGGGCTGTGCCGGCCACAGTTTCTGCAGTAATAAGCTGCACCGCATGCACGGAAGATTCATCCGGATTGTTGATGCGTGAGAGCGTATCAGCTGTAGCCAAAAGCTTACCAGGCCCATGAAGTACCTTGAATTGGTAAGGCATTGTTGTGATTTTGGCATTTCGCGAGCACTCTCGAATCATGACAGGTAAATTTCCACCATCACAGAAGAGGTAGGTGTATAACAGCTGCATATTTTCGGCACTTAGTTACGAAGCAGAAACCTAGAGACTTACAAAAAGGGTTCAGCTTAAATTGAGAACGACGAAGCAAGCAGTGGAAAGGAAAATGGTAGGTGTAACCTTAAGAAAAGAGCAGAGTGGATTAGGGAAGAAACCGCGGCTAAGGATATCATTAGTTGAAACTGAGAAGAGGAAAAGGGCATGGGCCGGGCATGTAGTGCGTAGACAGGATAACCACTGATTATTAAGGGTAACTAAATTGATGTCTAGAATAGGCAAGCGGGCTAGGGGGAGACAGAAGGTTCGGTAGGCAGATGAGATTAGGAAGTTTGCGGGTATAAATTGATAGCAGCAAGCACAGAACCGAGCTGACTCGTGGAACATGGGAGATGCATTTGTCCTGCTGTGGACGTAGTAAGGCTGATGATGATGGTGATGATGATGATGTTGATGATGATGACGACGACTAGGCGATGTTATGATCCACAGTCTTTGTATTCTTGAAGGTAACATGTCGAGCTGCATCTTACCAAAAATAGAGGTGAGGGGTAAGTGATCTGTCTTAACATCGAGCGGGTTACCTCGTACGAATTCATCGAACCTCCAAAGATCCGTGGTTATAGCCAAAGCTTTCTTTTCAGTTTGGCTATATTGTCACGTAATACAAGAGGGGGAACACACAATGATTTATTGAGGGCGAACTTGTGCCCAGAAGAGTAGCAATGTCACAAAGTCTGCTAAAAGTGTTCCGCCTACGTGTCCCTTTCTGAACAACTCCTCCGTCAGTCTTCTCGGCTCGTGCTCGTACACCAGAGGCCCACGCTGCTCTGCCCAAGATGCGTGAGCACGCGCGAGGCACAGTAGACGCCCACATAGCGTCTCGTTGGTTGCGAGGCACTGCAGACGCCCACATAGCGTCTCGTTGGTTGCGAGGCACTGTAGACGCTCACATAGCGTCTGGTTAGTTGTGAGGCACTGTAGACGCTTACATAGCATTCCGTTTGTTCTCTTTGTAAAATAATTAGTAGGAGCAATCTCTATGGCAATATATCTGCTTTGTCTTCGTCATTGCTCTCGAGGCAAAATTGACAGAACGGCACTCGACTAATGGCTGCGTCTGAAGCAACACAGCCCCAAGTCCAAACGAACTCGCATCAGTTGAGACAGTCGTAGCATACGACTGATTGTACTACGCCATGCACCTATCGGATGTCAGTATCGCCTTCACGTCGACGAATGCGGCTTCATGCTCATGCTGCCAAGTCCAGCTTGAAGACTTGTTGAGGAGTGCTCGAATTGGAGCAGGTGATCTCGCAGATATGTGGCAAGCACCTGGTCAGATGATTTATCATCCCGAGAAAACACCTGACACTTGCAACATATTTTGGTGCTTCTATGGTCTTGATGGCTGCAACGTTTGCCTGGGTCCGGACTTATGCCTTGTGCGGAAGAAAATACTCCAAAAAAGGGTACTTCCAACACAACTAATTAGCATTTGCTATTATTTAGTGCGACCCCTGCCTCGGCAAGAGTGGGACAGAAACCTGGTTCAGTCGGACATCATGTTCCTCTCGAGTGCAGTTCGAAGGCAAGTATATCGTCAAGCATATTTACTATCCCTTTCTGTGCTTCAAGAATTCTGGCCTATCTGCTTCTGAAAGTACTTTGGCACTGAGGTAATGCCAAACGGAAGGCGGCCCGAAGCAGTATAGGCCAAATGGAGTTATGAAAGTCATGAGCTCTTGAGACTTCACAGCGAGTTTCTACTTTACTGGAAACTTGGTGTTGCGTCCAGCTTGGAGAACACCGTTGCCTCTCCAATAAGCCCGAGGACCTGTTCAACCGTAGGGAGGATGTGGAATTCTCGAAGTATGACTTGATTTAGCTGGGTTAAGTCAACACAAAGACGATAATCCCCCGACACTTTAGGAACCCCCACCAGCCTAGAACACCATGGCGTTAGACTGTCGATGCGGTGAATTACTGCCTCACTTTCGTGCTTGTTCGGCTCACGCCTCACGCTTTCATGTAATGGAATTGGGGATGCGACGAGGAATGCTGAGTGAGAATGGTGTGGCATCAGGATTCAAGCCAATTTGATATTCATCCTTGACGGTGCCAAGTCCGCGGAACAGTTCAGCGTGAAATAAGCTTCAGGTGCTTCCACCCCGCCACTAAATTGCAAGATATCGAGGGCCTGTACAGCCGGCAGTCCCAAAAAGAGACAAAGAGCGATTCAATAACGAAGAGCCGCTGCGAGGACGTCTCCCCGCGCCATCGTAGTTGGGCCGTATATGAACAAAGCACCCGCAACGGTTAACCTCCGAGTCTGGTAAGTACAGTGTCAACCTTGTCCAGCTTGACTTGGGGAAGTCATTGAGTATGGCTGAGACCTCGGCTCCTTGGTCAACTTTAAACTGAATCGTGTAGCCATTCACGGTGACATCGAGTAATAAAGACTTGTTCCTCACCCCGACGGTGCTCAGGTGAATGAATCCGACTTTCTGCTTTGATTTTCACAAGCGAAAAACTTCCGCGAAGTGCCCCTTTTTATACAAAATTTGCCGAGCCAACTGCGTGCCAGGCATTGCGTGCGAGGGTGAGACTCGGGACCACAGAATCCGCAGGTGGGCGTCTCTGCATTGTGACGGTCGAAAGAATGCCTCGTGTTTCGGTGATAGCAAGCAGACTTCTGCGTCTCTGTAGCGTCCATGTGCAAAGCGCGGCCAGCTTGCGACTGCCGCTTTTCTTTTTCCGTGTCTACCGCCCGCGTGCTTGCATCGAATCTTCTTTGAGAGTGAGCTTAGCATTTCTGCATAGCTGGTCTGAGAGGCGCGAGTCGCACAAACCGACGACGCATCTATCATGTAGTAGCCTTTCTTCAACATGCGCTGAAGGATAGGCGCAGCGTTTCACCAACTTGCATAGTTCAGCATGGTACACGTCAACGCTCTCGCCTGGCTCCTGTACGCGTATACGAAAATGCGATGACTTGTAGAGCTCATTACTATGATTAACGAAGTGCTCGGTATAACAGTCGACAAAAGTCTTGTAGGAAGTGAGGGACGCAGTATCGAGAGAGAATGTTTCGAGGAGTGGACGCGTTTCGGGGCACATGCAATATAGGAGCAAGCAAACCTGTGTTTTTTAGGTGCATTCCTGAGTCTTGAGATGGCTGCGTAGTTCTCAAACCGGTTTTTCCATGTCAGCCAGGTCACCGCGTTGCCGAAGTCGAATGGCTCTGGCACCTGAAGATTGGCACCCATCCATTTCGGGCTGGACTGCTCGGTAGACATGGCAAGGACAATGGCTAAGCGCGACGTCGGGTCTCCATCCCACTTCTGACACCATGTAGTGTTAAAGGGGCCCTGCGACACTATTTGAGCACGTATTTTTTATCGGCTCTTCTGGTAGTGTGGAACGCGCCGATATTGTTGCGCACATCGCAACGCCGAGATCGACGCTGTTTTATTTTAATTCACGGGAGAAACTATCTTAATTTCGGACTACGGCGACCCACATTTGCTAATTTTGTTAAGGGAAGTGACGTCATGTCATGTGACGTCACGACATACACCGCTCGATTTTGATTGGCTTGACGGGAGAAACAGCGTGCAATATTCATATGGCGGTAGCTAGGCCAAACGAGTGAACGCTAAAAACAGCAAGAACCTTTTTAATACTTTCTTTGAAAGAAATCATTCCTGTTTCGAAATAATGTATTTTCACAGAACAATGAACACAACACTTACGCTGCGAATTGAGGCTATGGTACACGGGCAACTAAAAGGAGAAACGCATGCCGCGTTTTCGACGAGCAAAAAATGCAACAGGCGGTGAGCGCCGGCGTTGCTGTAGAAAGCTTCTTGCATGCAAGCCGAGAAGTGACCCCGCCCAAAGCGCATGTGTGTGTCTTACACAGTGTGACCATGGGACCGTCTGCTATCCGACGCATGGGGTTCGTATGCGACGCTGTCAAAAAGAGCGGTAGCGAGGTATTGTGTGAAAGCTACCATGAGGTGACAATTCCGGAATGTCTTTGTGAAACACGGCGCTGTGGTTGGAAGTGGGCTTTGACGTCAGCAGGCGAGTGAAATGTGAAAGAGAACGTTTCTCGTCATCGTCTGCTCAAGTTTTGAACTTTGAAGACTCGTAACTTCACTTTTCCTACACAAATTTCAATCATTGTTGTTGCATTCGTCTGAATAATCATCGCTACACGCGTATTGGTACTAAATAAGGCTGTCCCAAAAGTGTCACAGGGTGCCTTTACAGTTCACCGGCGACACTAACCAAGCCAAAGTCCTTAGAGTCTGAGGAGCCCGAAGAAACACAGCTTCTCCACACTCTACTGAAACAACAACTCTCTCTTTATTCTCCTTAGCCCAAACGCTTCACCGCTAGGGTGGGCGGTTGCGACAAACCACTACAGTAGTAGCGACCTCTACAAATTCAACGACCCACTAGTTACGCAGTTAGCTTTATGTGACGCCTGTTTATATATTTCCTATTCCATGACGCCCAGTTGTATATTTTGCTCTTCTGTCACGCTGTAATACACATGTTAACATTCTCGTTTCAGACATGAAGCTTTGATTGGGTCTTTCTTGCAAAGGCATGGCTCTGTGGTAGAAATTGGGGTGCCACAGAGACGGGCCCAAGTTCGAGGCCGGTTTTGTCTTTTCATGTACTTTGCTTCTTTTCTTCCTTATTTCGCGCTATAGCAGTTTAACACACCAGTGGTGGCGGTGACGGGCAACTGTGGCGCCAAAGACGGCAGTTCTTCGAATCTCATAAGATTTCTTGCTGTCTACGCTGTCGTGTTTTAATTGCTCAGAGGGGTGGTCTTAAAATGCCTGAAAAAATTGAAGGCATTATTAAGAACTCTCCGTCATTGCCGCAATTTATTCATACAAAGAGTTGAAGAGCGTGGTGCTACTGAAGCTCAATAATATTCAGACCGCAGGTCTAAGGCGCACATTCCGGCTTTGACCTATGTCACAGTTGCCGTCATTGTCGGTGGCGTAACCGATAGACATCAAAGTATAAATTAAAAAAAAGCGACGACCGAATGGGGCTTAAATCTGGGTCCTCGAATGGCAGTCGAGAATTCTACCACAGGGCTAAGCCAACGCTTGAAACTCATTTGCAAAAAAAAAAGAAACCTATAGAGGTGGAACGTCCGGCAAAAAATCGCGTGATCTTACATAAAATAGAGTGGCACACAAGTAAAATGGCAACCATGGTGATCGCGCAATGCCAATTGTGCAACGAGTGTCTGGTTCAATGCTTTCCCTCTACTGATAGGGACTGAGCCACAATTCTTCATCGTCATCAGTCATATGCAGCATCAACAAAGCACACATAATGCCTTACAGATGTGTAGTGGGTACCTCCCCTATCCATATAAAGACGAGTAATGGCGTGGTTTGTACTGTCCTACTTCAATGAAATAATGGTTTATGGCGTAGTGGACACCTTGCGGAAAAGTGAAAACTTCAAACACAGTTGGCCTTAACCCAACAAGAACCTGCACTCAAAATTTCAAGTAGAAAGGATCGTAATCATCAGGTGAATTTTTCACCCAGTTCACTGAAAAATTGTTCTTTCTAAAGGCTTAGAGGCTACTTAGAGACTACGTACAAAACTCGTAAATCATCAAACTTTTTCGTTCTGTATTTGTGAATCACGTCATGCGTCGACCTGCATTACATAACTGACCTGTGTGGGGATAACGGAGATTAGAAATTTTGCTTTCGTGCTCAGTCATTCCTCACAGGCTGTAGTGTTGGCCTTAAACGCTCTTCTCACTTTTTCCTCGAGTAAAGCGCCAGAAACCACGCTTTTATTCGGTGCAAATATTCTTGTAAATGGCCGAAAGAGCACGTTATGACTTCGCCGCTAGCTTGCCACACCATCAGTAAATTTTATCGTTTGGTATGAAGTATAGTGTGGCTTCTTCAAGTCTGCGACACGTGACTTGCTTTCTACTCGGTTTACAGTGCCGAAGGTAGTGTATCAACAATATCAGATCCAGTATGTAAGAACGTTGTTAGCGGAGCCTGTTGGTCAACCTCCCATAGAAGATTCCAGATAGTTTGACGGCAGCATTGTAACAGCTTATTATCAATTTTATTCAGAAAAGTTACGTTCTAGATTGCCAATTGGCTTCGTATTACATTTAATGGTTTTGTGTCCTGATTACCGTAATGTAATTTAATAAAGTGTGCCTCTTTTCGATCATCAGAGCAAATGTACAACCAGATCAAATGAAATTTGGCTGCTAGATGCAAAGTCTTTTCCCTTGTTTAAATATTAAAACCCTTCTTTCTACATGTATGGATTCTTTATTTTTTCAATGTACCTCTCTTTCGGGACTGGTCGAAGATGTGGATTGGCAGAAAACTGGACAGAAATGCCAAGCCAAGGAAAGACGCTAGATTTAGAAGCTGTTGAGTGCAGATGCTTGGGCCGAATTCGACGAGTGAATATTTTGCGAGAGAGTTTGACTGCGCGCTACACTGGAGCATGGAAACATATGTGCGTGGTGTGTATCTCTCTCTCTCTCTTTCTCTCTCTCTCTCTCTCTCTCCTCTATATATATATATATATAAAATTGTATACTTACTAGCTCGTTTTTCTGTGTTTAACACAATAATAACGAGATCTAACAGAGAATAATGCCAAAGAATGTATAGGGGAAGATATTAGACCAAATTGTAATGTGAATATGAAGAAAGAAAAGTGGGTGAGAAGATAACTTGCCATAGGCCGGATCGAAACCTGCGACTTTCAAATGACGCGTTTGATGCTCTACCACTGAGCTACCGCGGCAGCTATCTCTCCAGCCACTTTATTGGGTTTATATGTGAATTTAAACGCGGGAGTGTCAGTTAGCGCCACCAGTAGCCATGACGGCGAGTGTGGCACAATCTTTTGAGCTTGTTTGGCGTCACGTAGCACGGAAGTTATTACGAGCGGGCAGCTGACCAATAGTCCCTCGTATACAACCTAAAGGCACTAAGTCTGCCAATACGAGACCCTCAATTAATGAATTAAGGAAAGGAGGGTATATTTAAGGGCTCGTTTTTTCGTGTATATATATATATATATAAAGTCCTTTTCTCGCTTTACCACTAATATAGGATCGTCATTGCGCGCAGCACCTCAATCGTGACGGAGAAAAGTTTCATTAGTCGATGAGTGCAAGGAAACAAATGAAGAAAAGGTAGGGTGAAATATGAAGCCAATTTGAGCCATAAGAAGGCTAAAGAAAAAGTCCAATAAGCGAGTGAATATCAAGCTCTCCATGCACTGACTTCTTTTATACAGCAGATAACAGAGAAAAGGAATGACGTTCCCGGAACCGATGACCTGAAATCACCTTTCAGGTTTTCGAAAGGCTGCGCAAGCTTTCGGCCTTTGATGAGTCGGTTGGCGTCCGTAGACAAGATGCGTCATTTGAAAGTCCCTATGTAGGCATTGATCATCATGGTAGAGGTTTGTACCAAAATGGTAGTAAATGACTTTTACCGGCTGAACACGCTATTCACGTCGATGTAAGGAAATTGAAGCGCACATATTGAGCGCTTGCGAATCATTCGCAAAGGTAAAGAAGACAGATGAAAAGTGGAACAGAGCACGTTTAAACCTATGAGAGCTATGCCTGTGAGCTGCTGACACAATACGCGTTCATAGTGTTCCTCAGCTACGTGAAGCAAAACTTGCATCGTGTCTGGAAACTTAACAAGCCGTAAGGTGACTTACTTCAGGCGAAAAGCATGAAATGCAAAAGAGAGACGTGAACTGTGTTGTTTAAATATTTGGCTCTCTTATAGCAATTTTTTCCAACCGTGCTTTGCATAGAGATCCAGAGTGGAGTACTAGACGCAGAAGTGTAAAGTCTATCGCGAAACGAAGTATTGCGTTTTGAGAGCAATGATGCCTCTTACGGAAGAAAAGCTAGCTAACAAATTTGAATTACGGCATTCATGTTCGACGACTAAGAAGCGCACAAGTTTTTTTTTTACGGAGCATTTTACTTACAGACTGATAGCGAGTCATGCCTGCAGCTTCTCTGTGTAGATTTTCATTATTTGATAGTGACTTTGGTCAGGTAACAAAGATATGGTGAACAATATCGAATGTGAATATAAACATGAAAAGGATATATAAAAAAGCGCAGACTGTGCCTTTAAAGGAAAGAGTGTAACCACCATGATTTTTATCAGCACAAATGTAGAGCTTTTTTGTTTGTTTATTTTTTGTTGCTTTACTCACTCGAAAATAAATTTTA